TATTTCTACATAATAACTATCTCTTCTAACCCACTGATTCTCAGTGTGGGATCTTAAGCCTGCTGGCTGGCCATGAAAGACCTCCCAATAAGCTACAGGATGATCATACGTATATTTAAACCTCTAAACTCATATTCTCCTCTTTTGAGTAAAAATTGCTCTATTAAGAGTCTTTGTTCTCTAAATTCTTTTATTATTAGAGAGTGAAATTCCTGGAGTAAGTGTATTAACGTATTGTTTGTCTCACCTACATGGGTCAGGGTCCAAAGAGTCTGGGTCACAAAGACCCAGACAATAAGCCCCTCAATGTGCAAACTCTAGTTTTTCTTTCATCAGTCTTCTCCTTACCAAGTCCATAGTCTCCTGCATTTTCAGAATTACCTTTCTAAAATATTAACTTGACATTGTCACTTCTCTGCTTAAATGTATTCCATAGTTGTTTATCACCTAAAACACACACCTCAGGCAACCATGTGTGAAATCTCAAGATATACTCCCTCTCTTTCTCTTCAACTCAGTCCCTAAACTTTACACAAAGTTCTACCAATACCAAAATATTATCATTTCCAAAGGATACTTTGCTACTTGCTGCCCTTCTGCTTTTGCACATGTGTCTTTCTTGGCCTAGAGTTATCTGCCATTCACTTGACTTGAATTGTATCTTAAAAGTATCAATCCTGGTATTGTGTAGAGTAGGGGTCCCTAACCCCCAGGCCATGGACCAGTACCAGTCCATGGCCTGTTAGTAACAAGGCCACACAGCAGGAGATGAGTGGCCAGCAAGCAAGCATCACTGCCTGAGCTCTGCCTCCGGTAAGATTATCAGCAGCATTAGATTCTCGTAAGAGCGCAAACCCTGTTGTGAACCACTCATTCGAGGAACCTAGGTTGAGCCCTCCTTATAAGAACCTAATGCCTGATGATCTGAAGTGGAACAGTTTCATCCCCAAACCATCTCCCTGACCCTGGTCCATGGAAAAATTGTCTTCCACAAAACTGGTCCTTGGTGCCAAAAAGATTGCGGGTCTGCTGGTGTAGAGAATAGATTTCAAGGGCACAGGGAAGAAGCATAGATACCAAAGCTGATGGTGGTTTGACCCATGATGATAGCACTGAAGGTGTAGAATAATGCTCAATTCTCATATATTTGTATTCATTTTACATATTTAATTTAAAAGCCTACCAAAATGGTTTTCCTAGTTGACAGGTAGCAAAACTGAGCCATGAAGTCATTGCCTTAGTCCATTCAGGCCTGCTAAAACAAAATTCCATAACTGGGTGGCTTATAAACAACAAAAACTGCATTTCTCACAGTTCTGGAGGCTGGGAAGTTCAAGATCAAGGTACTCACAGATTTAGTGTCTGGTGAGGGCTCACATCCCAGACAACCATCTTTTCACTATAACATTACCTGGCAGAAAGGACAAGGGATCTCTTAGGACCTCTTTTTTTAAGAACACTAACCTCATTCACGAGTGCATCACCTCATGACCTAATTACCTTCTACAGTCCCATCTCCTAATATTAATTATCATAAAGATTTCAACATATGAAAGTGGGAGGAGGGGTACGAGCATTCAGTCTATACCAGTCATATAGCATCTCATCAGTATTGTACCTGAAAGTCCCAGAATTCATTTCCTCACTTAAAGAGTTATTTTCCACTCAAAAAAAACCTGTTTGTAAACTGAGCAGAGCTATAATTTCTGTCTCTCTTGAGAATCTTAAAAGATTAGTGCATATCTCAATTACCTTGAAAAGAATTCCCCACTTTCCAGTTTGAGGTTGTTTTTGTTGTATTGTTTTATTTTATTTTCAGTAATGCTAGTAAGAAAAGCCATGACATTAGTAATGTTTCAATCTTGCTTTTGCTCCCCTTTCAACCCTCTTCTCTTAGTCTTAATCTTACCATATACCCATGCCTCATAAGGTCCTTTATCCTAATTGTTCTGTTGGTAATAGTAATTGTTGCTGCTGGCACTGGGAGTAGAAATAATACTACAGTGCATTAACTCAGACTCACAGAATCTTGACATGCTAAGGGTTTACATGGATTAAACAGCAGGCCCAAAACGTTTTCTAACAAAGAGCAGCCTGTAAAGTTGAGCACAGACATAGACAAGCAAGCTAGGAGCTTGCATGGGTGAATGCTGGCAGGAACTAAGGACAGACATTTTCAAGATGGCGGCTTCGTCTTCCTGTCTCTGCCAGCCACATGCACTGTAAGGAGCAGACAACATGGTGCATTTCAACTAGAAAGTCTATTCCCATAATAAGATTAGGGTGGGACGACCAGCCTTTCCCGCACCCTATGCAAACTTCATGCCTTACCGGAACAAAACAATCTATGAGCCCTATGTAAATCAGACACTGCCTCCTCAGAGTGGACTATAAAATTCAGTGCATTCACCACCTTTTGTCTCAGAAACCCCTCTCTTTATAGAGAGAGCTGTTTCGCTTTTTCTTCTCTTCTCTTTATTAGACCTCTGTTCCTAACCTCCTCACATATGACAGTGTCCTAAATCTTCCTGGCATGCAACAATTACCCAGACAGTGTAGTCCACTTCATTACTATAACTGTCTTTAATTAAAACTTTCACATATGTCTGATTATTTCTTCTGAATAAATACCTGAAAGAAGAATTTCCAGTTCAAAAGTAAAAAAAAAAAAAATTAAGCTTTTTATTCTTTTTTGCCAAAATACACTCCTAAAGATTGTTCTAATCTGAATTTTAACCAGTAGTTATTTAATGTGGCCTGCTTTTATACATTCTAGCTAATACTATTTTTATTATTTGGAGTTGTTTTCTTTTTCTTTTCATACTTCTTCCCACTTATTTTATTATTTTATTCATTTTTTGAGACAGGGTCTCACTGTCATGCAGGCTGGAGTGCAGTGGTGCGACCTTGGCACACTGCAACCTCTACCTCCCAAGCTCAAGTGATTTTCCCACCTCAGCCTCCCAAGTAGCCATGTATTTTAAAATCAGAAGGGGAAGGGCTTTTGCTTCCTTTCATGAAGGAGTAGTAATTACATGGTCTTTGCACACCCACCCCCATAACCCATAAACAACTAGAAAACTAAATGAAACATATAAAATGTCTGTTTTCCAACATTCAACAAGAGGCAGTATAGGTCTATGATCCCTGAAAGCATGACTTGCAGCTTGGAAGCAATTTTCTAACCTCAGGGCAGGAAAGGGGGCCCATGCAGAGCTTGGCAGTTTCTCTGAATTGAGGAGAGACAGGAGCTCAGAAAAGCTGAAGTGGCTGGAAATTACAGGGCAGCATTCCAGAGAGGGAGGAGCTACAGGAAAGAAGAATGCCAGAAACCTGCATAAGAGTCCCATTGAGTGGCTAATCCAAAACTGCACAGGTGTAAGTGAACTCCACAAATCCAGGCAAAGAACAACTGCTGGGGTTTTCTATCTGAGCAATTCTCTGAGCTGAGTCAGGGCTGAATGACATTCAACTTGTTATTCCTTGGAGTGGAAAGACTCCATTTGAATGTGTAGGTATTCAATAAAGACTACAGAAAACTTAAGCCTTAGTAGTAGGAATAAACTAGCCCTATAGTAAGACTACCCTAGACCTATCCTAACAAAGCTTAACAATAAGTCTCCAAAGGATAAAACTAATATGCAAGTAACTGCCTGCCAAAGCAAACATCAACACTCTAAAAGAAGACAACAGAATTTAAACAGTCAATAATATAGCATTTCTAATATCTAACATCCAATAAAAAATCACTAGATATGCTGAGAAGTAGCAAAATGTGACGCTTAATCATGACAGAAATAAGTGAATGGAAATAGACACCAAAGTGGCTGAGATACAGAATTAGCAGACAAAGACTTTAAAGGAACTACTATCAAAGCTTGGCAATTTAAGAGAAAGCAAGGATATAAATAAAGAAGTTGAATATATGAAAAGGAGCCACACAAATGCTCTAGAATTCAAAATTAACATCTGAGATTAAAAAAAAATTCAATTAATAGACTTAACAGCAGAGCAGACACTAAAAAAAAAAAGGTCAGTAAAATTAATGATATCGCAAAAGAAACTATCCTAAACTGAGCACAGAGAGCAAAAAGGCTGGCGAAAAATGAATGAAAACTTAGTAAGATGTCAGACAAGCAGTCTAACATACATCTTGAAGAAAGAGCAAATCTGGGTGCCTTATATACCTGATGTCAAGAATTATTACAAAACTACAGAGTTCAAGATAATGTAGTGTTAGCATAAAAGTAAACATCTAGAAAAACAGAATGGAATACAAAGTCCATATAGGGATTACACGCATGTGATCAATTTGCTTTAGCAAGGGTACCAAGACACTTCAGTGGCAAAAGAAAAATTTTCCAACATATGGTGTTGAAATTACTGGACATATATGAAGGAAAAAATGAACATCAACTTTTATAAAACACAGCATGAAAAGTCATGGAACTAAATGTAAAAGCAAAAACTGTAAAATTTCTAAATAAAATTTTTATAAAGAAAAATTTCTTATTTACAAAGAAATAGGAGAAAATCTTTATGACCTTGAGATACACAAAGATTTTTTACTTAGTACATCAAAATCACGAATTATAAATGAAAAAATGATAAATTAGACATCATCAAAATTTAAACTTACTATTCTTCAAAAATCACTATTAAGGAAACAAAAAGGCAAATCACTAAACAGAAAAAATATTTGCAATACATGTATCGTAAGGTATCTAAATCTGTAATATAGAAAGAACTCATAACTCAATAATATAAAGGCAAACAAATTAAAAATGAGCAGTGGATTTGAATAATAATTTCATAGAAAGTACATGAGTGGCCAGTAAGCACATGAAAAAGTGTTCAACTTTGAGTAATGAATTGTACACTTTAAAGAGTGAATTGGATGGTATGTGAATAAGATCTCAATATAACTTATGTAAAAAATGAAACAGTGAAGCTAGGAGTGGAGGAAGAAGTAAATTGCAAAGGTATTTTTTTTTTCTTATTTATATGCTTTTATTTTGAGGTAAATTTAAAGATGGTGACCTAGAAACCACTAGTATTTCCGAGTAAGGCTGAAGACCCATCTGTTTGTTATCTTTCAACTTTTGTACTATAACTTTGGCAAATTCTTCTCCTTGGATGTCAGTAGTGTCTAGTAATTGTCTGACTTTTGAGGTCCTTGTAGGCTTGGTACTAACAAGTTCATAGTCTTCTTCCGTGATCAAGTCCCTGGACAGAAGGGCATCTAGTGACTGGTTAAGACAGGCTTCCATCATTTGGTTCACAATGTCTTCCCTTTTGCTCTGGATCCACTGCTGGGCTATACCAGGCTGTAGACGTTCTGAGTTTCCTCTAGTTGAGAGTGGATTTACTATTGCTGAAGAGCATGGAATGGTCTTGTGATCACAGAATGTGGCCCTTTGAGATGCAGAAATGGTACTATCCCAACTGTGATTTACTGAATAGTCATGCAGCCTCATAAAAGAAGAGTCTTCAGTTTTTCTAGATAAAAAAAATCATTGTCTTGAGGAGCTGACAGGGACCTTGAAGTTCCAGGGGAACCACTATTTTTATGGGGCTGAGAGGATCCACATGATTCCTCCTGTGGACCATGATTTACAGGTATGTTTAGAGATAATTCCATTTTCTTCTTGTCACATAGGTGAATGGCACTTGAAACACTCTGTAACTTTGTTTTCTTTAGCTGAATAACAGCTTCAAGAAAAGTTATCTCTTCAAATGTTCTCAAAACTGGTTCAAGTTCTATTAAACATTTTAAGAAAGACGGTCTTTCATCTGGATTTTGTGCCCGTCCACTTTCTATTAGAGAGATCATATGTGCCAGGTGAGGTGGCAGATAGGAGGCAGGACTAACTTGTAGCTCCCACCTGGACAGAGAGAGCAGCATGTGGAGACTCACATTGTGAACTTTTGCTCCAAGAACTCCTGCAGGAACATACAGGGAAAGTCGAGAGAATCCACAACCCCTTTGAAGGAGGTGGAAAGGCACGGCAGGCTCCATAAGACAGCAAAGGAACTGTGTCCACCTTCTTTCTCACCTGGGAGGCTCATAACATGGGGCAAGTTCTCAGCCTTGCTCATTGGTTGCCTGGAAATAAATTCAGTGCTGTTTGAGGGAGCATGGTGGGAGTGAGACTGGATTTTTGGGCTGCATGAGGGCTTGTGGCCTCCAGCTTTCCCCCACTTTCCTGGCAACCTGTGTGATGCAGCAAAGGCAGCCATAATCCCTCTGGGGCCATAACTCCAATGGCCTGGGAAACCACACCCCCATCCCCCACAGCAGCTGCAGCAAGCTCCACCCAAGGAGAATCTGAGCTCAGACAGTCTAACCCTGCCTCAAGATGATGATCTTTCTCCACCCACCCTGGTAGCTGGAGATAAAGGACATAATCTCCTGGGAGCTCTGTAGCCCTGCCCACCACCTTATGATTGGGCAATTCTTGCATTCTCCCTGTATTGCTGCAGCTAAGGCACTTTTGAAAGTGCTGCCTTTCAGCTGGAGGCTAACCAACACAAAATCAGTGCACTTAAAGATACAACCAAGGACCCCTCACAGAGTCTATCTCTACCAGGGCACGTGCTTTTATCTATGGCTGAAAGACCTGAAGATGGATAACATCATAGTACTCTTTGCATGTATTCTCCAGTAGCTCTGCTGGGTGGCTAGATCCAGAAGAGAAATAACGATTGTGGCAGTTTGGCTTTCAGAAAGCCTCATCCCTAGAAGAAGGAGGAAAGCACCAAATCAAGGGAACACCTCATGAGGCAAAAGAATCTGAACAGTAGTCCTTGAGTCCCAGATCTTTCTTCTGACACAGTCTACTCAAAAGAGAAGGAACCAGAAAGACAATTCTGGTAATATGATAAAACAAGGTACTTTAATACCCCCAAAAGATTATACTAGCTCACCAGCAAAGATGATCTCTCTGAATTGCCAGGAAAAGAATTCAGAAGGTCAATTATTAAGCTAAACAAGGAGGCACCAGAGAAACATGAAGTCCAACTTAAATAAAAACAATGATATAGGATATGAATGAAAAAATCTCCAGTGAAATAGATAACATAAACAGAAGACAATCACAAATTCTGGAAATGAAGAACACACTTAGAGAAATGCAAAGTGCACTGGAAAGTCTCAGCAATAAAATTGAACAAGTAGAAGAAAGAACTTCAGAGCCCAAAGACAAGGCTTTAGACTTAACCTAATCCAACAAAAACAAACAAAAAAGAATTTTAAAAAATGAACAAAGTCTTCAAGAAGGTTAGAATTATGTTAAACAACCACACTTAAGAATAACTAGTGTTCCCAAGGAAAAAGAGAACTTTACAAATTTGGAAAACATATTTGAGGGAATAATCAAGGAAAACATCCCTGGCCTTGTAAATCTAGACATCCAAATACAAGAAGCTCAAAGAACACTTGGGAAATTTATTGCAAAAAGATCATCAGGTTATCTAAAGTCAAGACAAAGAAAGAATCTTAAGAGCTCTGAGGCAAAAGCATCGGGTAATCTATCAGATTAATGGCAGATTTATCAGCAGAAATCCTACAAGTTAGAAGGGATTGGGATCCTATCTTTAGCCTTCTTAAACAAAACAAGCAACAGCCAAGCAACTTGTATTCAGTGAAACTAAGATTCATAAGTGAAGGAAAGATACAGTCTTTTTAGACAAGAAAATGCTGAAAGAATTCATCACTACCAAGCAAACAATACAAAAACTGCTAAAGTGAACTCTAAATCTTGAAATGAATCCTCAAAATACACCAAAATGGAATCTCCTTAAAGCATAAATCTAATAGGACCTATAAAGTAATAACACAATGAAAAAAAATGCAAGGTATTCAGGCAACAAATAGTATGATGAATAGAATAGTCCCTCACATCTCAATACTAACATTGAAAGTAAATGGCCTAAATGTTCCACTTAAAAGATATGGAATGGCAGAATGGATAAGAATTCACCAACCAACTATCTGCTGTCTTCAGGAGTCTCAACTAACACATAAGGACTAAAATAAACTTAAGGTAAAGGAGTAGAAAAAGATATTCCATTCAAATGGACACCAGAAGCAAACAGGAGTAGCTATTCTTACATTAGACAAAACAAACTTTAAAGCAACAATAGTTTAAAAAAAGACAAAGAGGGACATTATATAATGATAAAAGGACTACCCCAACAAAAAAAGTCACAATCCTAAATATGTATGAACCTAATACTAGAGCTCTCAAATTTATAAAACAGTTACTACTAGACAGCAACACAATAATAGTAGGGGACTTCAATACTCCACTGACAGCATTGGACAAGTCATTAAGTTAGAAAGTCAACAAAGAAACAATGGACTTAAATGATATTCTAGAACAAATGGACTTAACAGATATTTACAGAACATTCTCTACCCAACAACTGCAGAATATACATTATATTCATCGGCACATGGAACATTCTCCAGGATAGACAATATGTTAGGCCACAAAACAAGTCTCAACAAATTTAAGGAAATCAAAATTATAGCATGTACTCTCTCAGACCACAGTGGAATAAAATTGGAAATCAACTCCAAAAGGAACCCTCAAAACCATGCAAATACATGGAAATTAAATAACTTAGTCCTGAATGATTGTTGGGCCAACAATGAAATCAAGATGGGAATTTAAAAATTCTTTGAACTGAATGATAATAGTAGCACAATTTATTGAAACCTCTGGGATACAGCAAGGGTAGTGCTAAAAGGAAAGTTCATAGCATTAAATGCCTACATCAAAAAGTCTGAAAGAGTACAAAAAGACAATCTAAGGCCACATCTTAAGAAACTAGAGAAACAAGAACAAACCAAACCCAAACCCAGCATAAGAAAAGAAATAAAGATCAGAGAAGAACTAAATTAAATTGAAATGAAATATATATACGTCAAAGATAAATGAAACAGAAAGCTGGTTCTTTGTAAAGGTAAATAAAATTGGTAAATTATTAGTGAGCTTAATCAAGAAAAGAAGAGAGAAGATTCAAATAAGCTCAAATAGAAATGAAACAGGAGATATAACAACCAATACCACAGAAATACAAAAGATCATTCAAGGCTACTATGAACACCTTTATGCACATAAACTAGAAAACATAGAGAAGATGGATAAACTGCTGGAAATACACAACCCTCCTAGATAAAATCAGGAAGAAACAGAAACTCCCAACAGACCAATAACAAGCAATGAGATTGAAAAATGGGAATTAAAAAGTTACCAACAAAAGAAAGTCCAGGACCAAACAGATTCACAGATGAATTCTATCAGACATTCAAAGAATAATTGGTACCAATCCTACTGATACTCTTCCAAAAGATAGACAAAAAGGAAATCCTCCTTAAATCATTCTATGAAGTTAGTATCACCCTAATACCAAAACTAAGAAAGGACATAAAAAGAGAAAACTACAGACCAATACTCCTTGTGAACATAGATGCAAAAATCTTCAACAAAATACTAACTAGCTAATGGAATCCAACAGCATATCAAAGAGTATCCACCATGATCAAGTGGATTTCATACCAGGATTCAGGGATGGTTTAACATACTCAAGTCAATAAATATGATACACTGCATAAACAGAATTAAAAACAAAAATCACATAGTCATGTCAATCAATGCCAAAAAAAAAGCATTTAATAAAATCCAGCAACTCTTTATAAATAAAACCTTTAGCAAAAATCATCATAGAAGTGACATACCTTAAGGTAGTAAAAGCCATCTATGACAAACCTACATCCAACATTATACTGAACAAGGAAAAGTTGAAAGCATTCCCCCTGAGAACTGGAACAAGACAAAGATGCCCACTTTCACCATTTCTATTCAACACAGTACTGGAAGTCCTAGCTAGAGCAACCCAACAAGAGAAAGAAATAGAGGGCATCCAAATCAGTAAAGAGAAGGTCAAACGGTCAAATTGTTGCTGTTTGCTGGTGACATGATTGTATACCTAGAAAACCCCAAAGACTCACCTGAAAAACCCCAAGAACTGGTAAACGAATTCAGCAAAGTTTCAGACTACGAAATTAATGTACACAAGTTAATAGTTCTGCTATACACCAACAGCAATCAAGCTGAGAATGAAATGAAGAACTCAACCCCTTTTACAATAGCTGCAAAAAAAAAAAAAGAAAAGAAAAGAAAAGAAAAATACTTAGGGATATGCCTAACCAAGGAGGTGAAAGACCTCTCTAAAGAAAACTACAAATCACTGCTGAAAGAAATCATAGATGACACAAACAAATGGAAACAGCCCCTATGCTCATGAATGAGCACAATCAATATTGTGAAAATGACCATACTGCCAAAAGTAACCTACAAGTTCAATACAATTTCCATCAAAATACCACCATCATTCTTCACAGAACTAGAAAAAAAAATACTAAAATTCATATGGAAACCAAAAAGGAACCTGCATAGCCAAAGCAAGGCTAAGCAAAAAGAATGAATCTAAAGGCATCACATTACCCAACTTTATACTATAAGGCCATAGTAACCAAAACGGCATGGTACTAGTATAAAAATAAGCACATAGACCAATGGAACTGAATAGAGAACATAGAAATAAAGCCAAATACTTACACCTAAATGATCTTTGACAAAGCAAACAAAAACATAAAGTGGGGAAAGGACTCCCTATTCAACAAATGGTGCTGGGATATTGGCAAGCCACATGTAGAATGAAACTGGATCCTCATCTCTCACCTTATTTTAAAAAATCAACCCAAGATGGATCAAAGACTTAAATCTAAGACCTGAAACCATAAAAATTCTAGAAGATAACACTGGAAAATCTCTTCTAGACATTGGCTTGAAGACTTCATG